GTTCCTAGCGAACAATTATTTAGTAGCGCGGGTTTAATTTACGAACCTCTGCGAAACCGCCTTGAATCAGAAAAGGTGGCAATATTACTCGTTATTAAGTACAATGTTCCTATTTTTGACTTCACTTACTAATATGAAAATTAGTAAGTGAAGTTAAAAAAAATAGGAGCATTATACATAGAATACATACATTACATACATAACATAATACTAATTTTCATTAATAAAAATGTTAATAAATACTTTATCATTGTTTTAATTCTTCATTCGTTTTCGTATTCTATTTTTATATAGGACCTTAAACATCCGCGTCCGCATCCGCATCCGCGGATGTGAGCCTTCAAAAATCCGCATCCGCTTTCACATCCGCGGATGTGAAAAAATCAGCATCCGCAACATCCCTGCTATAAACATCAAGTCTAGAACTGAAATAAGACAAAACTAGTTTGCTAGGAAAGATTAAATTCTCATTATTGCTCAAAAACAATCAACATCTTCGGTAAACTATTCTGTTTTATTATATTTTTATATTATTGCTTTAAAAGTAGTTAATATGTTCTTTCTATATAGCAAAATCATAATTTATAAGTTAGAGGTTAGGTACATAGTTTACACTTGTTTATTTTAGGCGAGTTCGGTCAGTCAGGGGCTGGAGCGGGACAAATTTTAGGGTGCTTTTAAATGACATTTAAGCGTGTTAAACTGTCACTAATCGGACTAAACCGAACGCTAAAAGAGTCGTTTGGAGTTAAAAGTATTAAAGGAGTTAAAGGAACGTGGCAAACCGAACGCAATGTTTATAAGGTTGTCAGTAATTTGATAATCTCTGAAATCAACACGCATGCTCAACTCTTACGTTACGGACATTTATAAATAGACTTTATTTTTATATCTTAGGTTAAGTTTCTACGGCGTTAAGTTACGTTACGGTGGTTATAAATTATACTTTATTTATTTTTTCGTCGAATTGTTCTTATTTGTGATTGTAATTTTTATTTGTCTTGAGTTAAATTTAAAAAAGAGACAATAAAATCAAGTAAAAATCATGTGTATGTTAGTTATGTGTGTAACAGATCAGGATTTTACAAACCTCGTGGCCAAGGAAAAAGACATTTAAAACTTAAGGGAAGCAGGAAAATTGATGGATTTTTATAAATGCTTATCATTAATTATTTTTAAAATGTGTGCTTAAAATAATAAAAATACCTACTTAGAAAATAAAGCGTTTTATTACATGTAAAATAAACAAAATAAATGTGAATTTTTATACACTCGTTTGTGTTATTTAGATGTTTTCATCAAAATAATAAAACTCATAAAAAGTTTATTTTGAGAGAATTTACATTAAATTATGTATGTCCTTATAATTCACCTTCTTACGGGGCTCCGGGGGACTTACGATGATTGATGGTGAAGAAAACCTCTCCTACTAGCTACAAATAATTTGATGTACCTAGTAGAATACCTAATATACTAATAATTTATAGGAAGTTTATTACTGGAATACAAGCTAAAGTAAAAATTTGTTAGTAATATCAAATAATACTTTTAAAATAATATTTTAGTAATAAAATGTAATTGTCAGTTATAAATGCCTAAAATAATTATAATAAAGTAACAAATATTGTTGGAAGTAAAATTTATATTCGTATCAACCCCAAAGTCCAAATAATAATTTGCACATGCGCACAACACACTGATGGAAATGTGTCTCCGTTCCAACACACACACAAACCGTAATATTACGGTCATCGTCATGCGCAGTAAATAAAAACTTATCAATAAAGCCCAAAGTCGAACGGTTTTTATTTACTGCGCATGACGATGACCGTAATATTAGCTTTGTTTTGGTTCACTTTCGTAACTGTTCTAGAACTCTTCCAGAACCTTTGGAGCATGTGCAGTAGATATTTGCTGTTTTGGTTTCGCTAGAACTGTTCCGAACCTGCAAGTTCTGTGTTTTGGTTTTTCTTGGGAATGGTTCCATAACCATTCTCGAACAGTAACGTCGGTTCTGGCCTAAAGCGAGAACTGTTTCAGAATCGATATGTTTGAGCATGCGCTTTTTTGCAAATAGATTTGTTTTTGAGATTCTGGCCATGTTTTGTGTTGGAATTTTTACAAGGAATTTTAAAATGTACTAATGAGAATGGAGTAGTTGATGTTGGGTCATAAGATTGTTACGAATAAATTATTTAATTTATCTACGTTTTATAATATTATGTGGCCTCTTTCTTGCGTATACACTGACCCTGTGTTATTTCTTCTTACTTATTTATAATATACTTTTTGACATTTTACTGTTCTGGCAGTGTTTTGGTTTCGAATGCAATGGAATGGTTACAGAACTGTTCAGAATTAAGGACCATTGCGCAATAGTTCTGCGCATGGTTCTGGAACAATTCTAGAATAGCTTTGTTTTGGTTCATTTTCATAACTGTTCTAGAACTCTTCCATAACCTTTGGAGCATGCGCAGTAGCTATTTGCTGTTTTGGTTTCGCCAGAACTGTTCCGAACCTTTAAGTTCTGTGTTTTGGTTTTTTTTGGGAATGGTTCCATAACCATTCTCGAACAGTAACGTCGGTTCTGGCCTAAAGCGAGAACTGTCTCAGAATTGATATGTTTGCGCTTGCGCTTTTTTGCAAGTAATTCTGTTTTTGAGATCCTGGCCATGTTTTGTGTTGGAATTTTTACAAGGAATTTTCGAATGACTAATGAGAATGGAGCAGTTGATTAATTGATGTTGAGTCATAAGATTTTTTACGAATTTATTATTTAATTTATCTACGTTTTACTATATTTTGTGGCCTCTTTCTTACGTAGACACTGACCCTGTGTTATTTCTTCTTTTTTATTTATAATTTACTCTTTGACGTTAAACTGTTCTGGCAGTGTTTTGGTTTCGAATACAATGGAATGGTTACAGAACTGTTCAGAATTAAGGACCATTGCGCAATAGTTCTGCGCATGGTTCTGGAACAATTCTAGAACGTTAACCAAAACAAACCTATAGTGAACCAAAACAAACCTATTACGGTTTGTGTGTGTGTTGGAACAAAGCTTATAATGAATGATGTGGCAACACTGATGGTGGAAATGTGCAAAATTCGGTTGGCGCAGCAGACTCTAGTGGATATTACATAGAACTATATCCATAATTAATTCTTGTAGATTTATCAATTAACACTTTACTATAATCTACATATAAAGCACCTGTATTTTTTTTATAAATTTCAATAAAATATAGATGATTCGTTTTATAATTCACACAATTAGCTAAATATATTAATACACATTTCAAATTGTTACAGTGACAATTATTATTAAGATGAAAATATTTTTATTTGTATACTAAACTGTAGGGGAACTTTGGTTTCCTAATTTCAGAAATTTACAGTCATCAGGTGTTACATAAAAAGTGAATGGATAATAATTGAACACTTACTTGTTTTTTTTCTATGAAACAAACTTCATCAGAACTATCAGCTTCCTCTGTGAATTCTGGTTCAGATTTAGATAAATCCCGTTCAGAAATTTTAAAATCTAGATTATCACATTCATTTTCATACTGACTTTCTGATTCTGGTTCCGTTTTAATGTATACTTCGTTATTATATTTCTCATCTGTTTCTTCGGATTTATTTTGATTGATGTCTGCATTTAAGTCTAGTTCTGTTTTTATTCGAGTATTATTTAGAAGAGCTTGTCTTAGAAATGTGTCGTTTTGTTTCGATAAAGTGATAAAATTCGATATTGAATCTAATTTTTCTATGCACTGGTTACAGATGTTTTGGGGTAACTCATCAAAAGATTCAATCTAGAATATGAAAATATGTTAATAGTTCTTTAAATTTATAAATTATAATTATTATTACCTGTATGTTTGTAATATTTCTAAATAAACCTATGATATATCCCACTTCTTGTAAATTTGTAAGGTTGTTTGTGCTCAAACAAACTCTGCAAATATTAGCAAATTCTAAGTTGTCCATTTTAAGTTTAAATACACGTCGAATATAGAATACTGTAAGTCAATACTTTTAATAATTAATGAAATTCTACTTCTGATTTAATATTTTTCATTAGTCCTTATCTTAAAATGTACAATTCACCTATTTATTTTCTATTGTCAGAGTACAAAAATAATTCAAACCATTCCCATTTATTCAAACAAAACAATGGCAAGGCCAGATCACAGACCATACCCTTTAGGCCAGATGACATGTCATATCTAGCCCAATGATATATGTTACACAGATTGCTCATCAATGTAAACCAGACGTCTAAAAGCAGATTTCATTGGACGAGGTTTTCTCTTCATCTAAGGATCGATTCCACCATTGTGTTAAGTGGAGATTAAATTGACATTGTTAAATGTCATTTTAAACTTCGTTTAACACAACGGTGGAATCGGTCCTAAATACATGCAATGTTTAACAAACGACGAAAAATTATTAGACTAATTTATTCATAAGTCTTTATTTATGGTAATTATTAAGATTGTGTTTTATATTACGCTGACAGAGTGGTCGCATCGGCTGCCGTATTTAGCAAAAAGGAGACTGGTGTTAATTTGATTGGGGATGGTTTGAGCGAGTTTGTTTATCTGAGGAGCGAGCACTGCTGTCACACTTCAAAATTAATTGCGTCCTTTCCTGAAAATAACTATAATAGTTACAACGAGAAAAATACATTAAAAACTGATATAAATGGAATTGGTATTGACTTGGTAACGCAATTTTTTCGAGCGGCGGTATTCAATTACAGACAATTAGACCAAACCATGTGAATTTTCAATTATTTATTCTAGGATTTGATGGGTGTCGTATTAACAGTAATTACATTTCATTGATAATCCAGATTATAAATCGACATGTGTTACCGTTTCGATGATGGTGGGTGGAATTTTCCGGGTTTTCCTCACTTGTAAGTAATCATCTTTAAGCCGTCCCGGAGCGACACAGCAAATAATTTGGGCCAAAACGGTTTTGTTCAGTAGGCTCTTTGTAGTCTTATATGGGTGACCAATCTATATGATTATGTACATCATTGGTGTTGCCTGAATATTTTTTTAGGTACTACTTTGTAAATATACTAGATTTTATAAAAAAAGAGCATTAGTTTACAATCATTATACAACACTTTTCAATCTAGTTATAGAAGGTCCTACGTTTGTGTAAAACGTAAATAAAACCGAAGAAGAAAAAATCAAAACAATAAACAATTATAAATAGAAAGTTAAAATTTACATATCAATAGAGGTTAAACAATATTATAAATGTATTAGTAACTATTTTTGTATTTATAAAATGTTTATTCTATCAGACGAAGTATTAGACAAATTACTTTGTTCAGCTTGTTTTGAGTATTTATCTGTTAGACCAGTTAAAATTTATAGAAGAGGGGTTATTAAATGTGGCCGATGTTCTGATGATAAAGACGACGGAATCGTTTCTATGTACGAAAATCTTATCGTAAATGGACTGTTTCCTTGCATCAACAGGTAAGTACGTAAAAATTAACAAAAATTGTCAAAAAGTTAGAATCGACCTGTCAAATAACAGCTGCCGAAGGACAGGGTCGGTATATCTAAGCGGGTTGCGACATAGTCTTCCATTTTGGACGCCGTTTTTATTCGTAGTAGTCACCAAAAGAAATAATATGTATAACGGTTTTTAAAAAAATATATATATATTTTCTTGGTATTGCCAACTTAAGCTGACTACTATTTGCCTCCTAGGCGCAGTGATCCCTTTATCAATTAATTGGGTTTATGTCGCAACCCTTTAGATAAACCAACCCTTCCTTTCGACAGCTGTTTTGTTTGGAATTCCTAAGGCCTCGGTCACACAAAGCGGAATCCGCGCGGTTCGCACCTGCGCGGATTTTATTTACATGAGTCCCTAGTTGTTCACACTGGCTCACTAGGCAGATTTTTAGATAATAAATGAATTAGGCATTTCAATATTTTCAACCACGTGACTTTTTGACAGTTAAAATGGTTGCTTGATGGCATACAAAAGAAAACCACAAATCAACATGTGACAAATGGTGTTTAATTTATAATATTAAAACTTTCAGTGCAGTTTTTTTTTACAAATAGTGACTGTAGTGACTTGTTTTTGTCAATAAGTTGTGTTAATCCATTTAATAAGACCTGTATTTTTTTTCGCCTATAATAAAGAATTCAAAGTTATGGTCTCTCACTTGACTACAAATTTGTAATTGGGTTACAGGGGAGGGTTATTTGACCTGTGATTTGCTTATCGATGGATTTATTTTTTTTTGCAGACAATGACATATGCTTCTAGACATCAATAACAATAAAAGTAGTTAAAGAGTACTGCTAATATTGAATAGTGTTTTTGTTCTAAATCTATTCTCAAAAGCAAACAGTTTCCGTTATTTAAACTAACAAATATATAAACAAAAGTTTGTGTGCCATCTAACTATACTGAATTTTTTGACAGATTACAGTTTCAATAATAATATTTTCTTTTATTCAGATACGAAGGTTGTACACAGTTACTGGCTTACTCGGAAGTTGCGGCACATGAAAAGGACTGTTCATCAAGTTGCTACAGCTGTCCAATATGTTCATCGCAGTTTACTTCTTATCACTTCGTTAGACATTATAAAAATGATCATTCTAACGCAGTTTTGGAGAAACCGGAAATAATTTTAACAAAACAAAGAGAATACGAAAATTACTATTTATATAAGGAGAATGATTTTATTTTCATTCTATACGCGAGATGTAATTTAGCGGAAAAGTGTTTTTTTCTAAACGCCGCATGTTTGGGTCGTCTTGAAAGAGTGGGTCGTATTAAACAATACGTTAAATGTTATTTGGGTAATTTTAAAGATACATTATTTTTGCAGACCAGAAAGCGGGATTGTTCGCTCATTGACAATAATTCAGAATCTTTTAAAGTACCATTTCCTGATAATACAAATTTAATTTCAATAAGCTTTCATTTCGATAAAACTGGAGTTAATATTTTAAACTGCATAAGTAATAACGCAATCGTTAGGGTAGGAAATGAAAGTGGTTGTACTACAGATATTGTTGGGTTGCATAATGAATATCCCAAAATGTTTTTAAGTGAGGAATATAAACGCCAGTATCCAAATCATTATTTGTCCCCTTGTGGTACTAAACTTTTGATAAAAGAAAATAATATTGTTAAAGAATTTCCGAGAATTTGCGAATTTTGCGAAAATATTTTCCCGATTTCTATATCATCGACTTTATTCAGGTGCGAATGTAACCACGTCTTTTGCTCCATTTGTTTCGCCATAGAACCATCTTGTTGCAACACCAAGGTCACCCAATTGAAACCTTCTCATTTCGAATCGAAAATCTACAGATCGTTATATTTCTATTGTAGATGGAACTGCGCCAGGTTTTATTGCGGTACCGATTTGAGGTACCATGAAGATCATTGTAAAGAAAACGTGGACGCGCAGGATTTGCCGAGCACGTTGGCATTGCGACATTTTAATTTTTATTTGAGCGACGCGAAAAGTCATTCGGTTTCGAGATCGAACATATTCTCGTTTAAGCAGTACAATTTTATGAATAGGCAAAAAATATTCGTGATTACCAGAGATTATTTCAAGTTCGTGTTGCATTCTAGTTTCGAGAATAAGATGTTTCATTTTTGGGTTTCACACGACTATCCGGGGGATAAGTATTATATTCTGTTTAAAATTAGGGATAAATTTGTGGATTATTTTCGAGTTAATACGTTCAGCATAGACAATGCTCATAATAATATTTTAGCTTTTGCTGTTTTGTTGAGAAAAATTGTTTAAAATGATTGTCAACTTGCTGAATAAATTGAGAATTGTAATTGTTTTGCAAATAGACAACTTAAGAATTAATAATATCCTAGAAATTAACTATAAAATATACGCAGCCCCGCTTGTTCCTATTTTGGTAGTGGTGGGAGTGTTTTTACAAATAACTGTAAAACTGTTGGGAAATGAAGAAAGTGGTTTGGGAATAAATACCAGAACTCCGAACGCAATCTAATATACAGTATCCCAAAAAAATTTATACACGAGAAAAAGTTTTGTTTAAAAATAAAAATAATTATTCTTGATAAAATGTTATTCTGCATCACTTGAAAACCCATAAACATTAAATTTTTTGGAACACACTGTATAATGGATTGCAACGTGCTCTTCGAGTACGTCATTAATAATAAAAGTCTCTTATTCAGATATTGTTATTAACGATGTCGCCAACTATTATACAATGCATGTGTTTTAAAAAGTATTATACATGCACATTAAAAAAAGTTGGAAAGTGTGTGCTAAATATATTAATAAGACACTTTTTATTTATTTAGTATAATTTGAATGTATAAACGTTTGTTACTTTGTTTTATCTAAATTTATTGCATTGAAATTTTTATTGTGCGATATATACGACCTTTTTGAGGTTTCAATTACAAAACAACTCATTTTTTTTTTAATAAATATAATTATTTACCTATAAGTAAAAAATAAAAGATTATTGTTTTGAGGTTATGTTGTTTGATTGTTTTCCAATAAATATTCTGCAAAATGTCACCAACTAATAAAAATTGGCAAAAACATTAAATATAGTAAAAAATAGTAACTATAAATAAATAAGGAAAACTCTATAAAGTGAGGTTGCACGCTAATAGTTTTCTACTTATAGTTTCATAGCGAGAACAAGTGTCTATATACACACATCGCCAGAATTCTTGGAACCCCTTCGTAAATATTAAAACGAAATATTTCATGGCTGCTTTTTTGTACATCTAATCTTTATTTATTTCACCGTTAATACGCATCTAAAAATCTTTACAAAAACAAGTTCCCACAATTTTAGGTACCAATGTTTAAAAAGTGGTTCATATCGATTTTGCGTGTTTAAGTGATTAAGTTTTCTTTGCAACTATGCCTGGCAATAGAATTTCAGTGTTCAATAGAGCAAGAATATCGGCTTTGCATAATGAGGGTCTGTCGAATCATCGAATCGTAGATAGACTAGGGATTCCCTGCGCGTCAGTTATCCGAATAGTGCGTTTGTACCAGGAAACTAACAGCGTTGACTTGAGACATGGGACTGGACGTCCTAGAGTAACTAATCCAAAAGAAGATCGGTATGTAGCAGGTTATGTACGTCGGAATCAAACCGTTCAAAGATTACCGTGGCCAGCAAATTCGCCAGATATGAATCCCATTGAGCACATGTGGGATTTCGTTGGAAGAGCAATCTCAAACAAAATTAATCTTCCTTTCACCCTCTAAGAACTCACAGTCGCGGCCCAAGAAGAATGAAACAACATTCCAATGGATTACATTAACACCCTTATTGTTTCCTTGCACAGGCGAGTTAATACTTTACTACAAAACAGGGGAGGACACATCGAATATTAATGAATTTTTGATTTCGCTCTAAAGTGGTTTTCTTCTGGAATTCAAATTCTAGTAATCATTTTATTATGCACTATTTTTCGTTGGTATATTTTTCTTGTTCAGCCAATTTCTATTGGACACATAACCAAATTAAAAGTACTATGTAACGCACTTCTTGACTTTTAATAATAGTGTTTCATTTTGATAAACATAAGGGGGTCCAAGAATTTTGGCGATGTGTGTATAAATACGTTTTTAGTAGGTATCTTATAAAATTATAATGTATAAGAAAAGCACATTCGTGTTTTATTGCAAGAGCAATAGTCCAATAAGAAAACTATGTAAGTTTGATAAATTTTTAAAAGGCCAACATGGCGATTTTAGTAAGTCTTTATTGGTGGCCATTGTATTTTTTTTATTGTCTTAAAATAAAAAAATATTGCACTATAAACTTGGGGGTCATATATTTCTTTAAAACATGTCGCTAAAGAATTTTCTTTAATATTGAACAATTACTAATTATTTTAATAAATATTTTTCTACGAATCGCCTCGTATTTTGCAGTTATTTCAGGATTTATGAATTATTTCGTTTCAATGAGCTTGACGTAGATTCGAGACGGAAATCAAATTAACCTGACAAAAGAAGATATTTTATCTGGGAAAATGTAAATAATAATATCGATGTCATCGAAATGTCCGAAACAATAGGTCTATTATTGCCGAAGGCGTTTTCCCATTTTCCTTCGGGGTATTTAAGAATTCCCGTATTCAAAGACTTTCCAGTCAAGTTTGGTTTTTTATTGTGATCGTTTGTAGCTAAGTGATAAACAAAATGAGGTACGTATTTTTATGCATTTTGTTTGAATTATTCGAAAAATGTGGAATTGAAGAAAAGTTGTATATTTTGCCGGAAGATAAAACAATTATTTTTTGCTTTTATACTTTTAATACCAGTGGCGTAACAAGACAACGTTTCAAATCTTAAATCCCCGGCTCTCTATAATATGTACATATGAAAAATTTGTAGAATTTATTAAAAAAAAGATATTTTCAAAAATAAAGTTAGTCATTGGATTTTAAAATTACCAACTGACAAAATAAAATAATTTTTAAGTTCAATGATTACTTGAAAATCTAATGTAATAAAAATTTTTTCCAATATCTGTAAATATTCTTTTATATTTTATTTATACGGGGTGTTCCTAAACATAGGTCCACAAACGCTTCGTTACCCATCTACAGGGTGTTGAAATTTCAAGATTTTTCGTGTTTTTTCTTTAGAGCTCCTGCAGTTTTTGAGATATTTAGCTCAAATTTGGAATCTAATAAGGGTAGGATGGGGTTTCTTTCAACATTTGTTGTAATGTAGTTTATTAGTTATTATTTAGGTTTTTTGTATTGTAAAATAAATCATTTCTACAGAAAATCGTTTTTAATTTTTTTCTCGATAACGGTCGTATAAAGAAAACAGAAAATTCATATTGTATTTTAGAATCTACCAGTGATACATAGCAAAAAGTTCAGGAGGAGAAAAGGGAACATGGTTCCTGAAAAAATATCATCCTGTAGATTCAACAACCATCTGACATACTCAATAATATATGCCCTATAACGCAATCTAGATTCTAATTTTGAGCTGAATATCTCAAAAACTGCAGTAGCTCTAAAGAAAAACAAGAAAAATCTTGTAATTTGAACACCCTGTAGATCAGTAACGAAGCGTTTGCGGACCTACGTTTATATGAACTTTTAGACATGAAATAAGCCAAATAATTTCCCCCGTATTGTCACGACGTTTAGGAACACCCTGTATTATTACTTAGATTATTTACTAATTACTTGCTGTCCTATGTTGCCATTATGCTCAACCTTTGATTTTGTAAATGTTTTCATCTTTATTCACTATTTTAAATTGGCTATTTCAATTTTACTTATTATAGTTATTTTTCATAAAATAAAACAGACATTAAGAACCGTTTCGTTTTCGTTGGCCCACTCTATATCTACCGACTGTTTGGAATATTATTATAAAGTATGTCTTAATTTTTGTACACGTAAACAATTTTAAAATAAGGTTATTTAAATGATTATATTATACAGGATGTCTTAAAATTCGCGATGGTATACATGATGAGGAAACTTGAAATGTCTTGTTTATATAGAGCAAGTGCGCCGGAATTGCAAACATACAAATTAATACGTGCATAAAGTCAAATCTATAAACGGGACAACTCTGTTGACAAATTAATTTGCATTTCAAAGTGTCTGAATCTACGTCTAAAAAGAAATGCCGGCAGTACAATGTTGAATGTTTAAAATATGGATTTACGTACTCTCCTACAAACCAGTCATTACCTATGTGTTTAATTTGCTTAAAAGTTCTCTCAAATGAAGCTATGAAACCTTCTAGGAGTTCTAGGTTACAAGAGCGTTTAAATAAAATACATACTGATAAGAAGAATAAAGATTTATCATATTTTTAATAACTGGAAAAAATTATCAAGAGTTATTATTTGCTAAACATTTGGAAATTGATACAAAGGGAGAATCTATATTTAAAACCAAGTAGAAGTTTTTTAAAGATAAATAAATCCCTATTTGCAATATTTTGTCAGCAGCTACTGATGGTGTTCTAGTAATGATAGGACGTCATAAAGGACATTTAAAACAAGCAGTACCCAATGTACCTACTTGCTGTAGATTGCTTTATTCATCATCAGCATTTACTTGCAAAAAAATTGCAAAAAATTTAGGAACCTCTGGTCTAAGCTAAACATTCAAATGACACCTACAACTAATGTGACAATTGTATCCATTTGTATATCTGTTATGTTTTTTACTTACAGGTATATATCTGAGATTAGCAAAACCAGAAAGAGCATACTTATACCACTCTTACTTTGTTGTGCTACATTCTGCATCGTTCAAGGGTATCCAGGAGAAGATTTCCGCTACATCGACAGAGACGTAAGTCATATTTCTGCTCTATATTTGTAACGTGTGGAGGGTGAGTTGACTCATGTCATTTAGGCCTCACTGGTGAATAGGTGGATTTTAACAATATTTCTTTGTATTTACAGTTAGCAAGTCCGGGTGCTCACCAATTGGCTAGCTGGCTGGCCAGTCAATTGCGGCCGAAAGAAATAATTCCCGTCGAAGTGCCCATTATTCCCTATCGATTGCCCCTACAAGGAAAACGAAATTCCGAAGTCACCAATGCCATGATCGGATCCGAAGAAACCCAAAAAATGTACAGGGAAGGACGTTGAGCCATTAACAAACATGTTGATCGCGAATTTATATGATTGAGATTAAGATTCCTTTGTTAATATTATTCTAAATAAATATTGTATGTAATAGTTGTCTGGTTTTTCTTCATTACAGTGGATTTTTATTTTCATTGCGAAAGTGTTGACCAGTGATGCAGTGATTTAATCAACTTTGCAAGATAGTTTCGATAGCTTAAGAATTCTCTTTAAGTTTTTACATTTATTTAGTCTAGTATAAGTTAAAAAGTCTTTAATTGATCATCATTACCAGATAAATAAATTAATCAATCAATAATAAAGATAACATGCCAAAACAAACTATCAAAAAAGTAACCTGAACCAAAACCAAATGTATTTTTGTAAAAATTTTGCATATACGTCAAGGGAGGTGCAAAACATATTTAAAATAAAGATTCAATTTTTAAAAAACCTTGTACATAGCAATCCCATTTCCACTTAACTATTTAAAGTCAATAAATAACATTTAGAACTCGATAAACTCATTAAAAATCTAAATAATTTATTCAGTCCAGATCTGCAAACTGTATTGTATTAAATTGATACCTTCGACCTACGTCATTTGTATCAACAAACACGTTATTTCTTATTCACGAGGGAAAAGGAATTTTCTAGATAAGACCGATAATCGTTTAATTACGAAAATATTCCAATCTGCGGTAGATATTTCCCAACTCAGCGGTAGATGCACTTCAAAATAAATCATTGCGATACTTTTAATCGACCATAAATTAAAAAAAAAACATTTCTGAAAGATTTGTTTATGTGGAAACGATAAAAAAAACTTTATAGTCAATAAAAAAGGTCAAGAGACTATCTAATGATAATTCCTCAATATTAATAGGTGTACCTATAATATAAAAAAATAAAAAATAATTGCAAGATTATTCGACTTATCTGGAATGAAGACAAATACAATAATTGTGTCCCCTAATCAGGAATTACTCACATCCCTAGCTATACTGGATCATAGGTAAGGGAAGAATACTGGATTCAGTATAGAATTCAATGCGTTTAATTTTAGGCTGCAATCATACATAAATGCCAAATTACCAAAACAACAGAGGAACATTATACATTTTTGGAGTTTTCCGAAACAAATTTGATGTTGCCGACCTCCACGTTACCTTCGAATCCTAGGAAGACGGACAGGTCAACCTATGAGATTATTCCTCATACAAATATTATAACTAGCCAAGTTAGGTAAATACTTTGAATCAGCGATAAACTCGTCAATACTAAGGTCTACTGGGAAGGCTAACAAACTAGTTAGGTATTAATTCAATTAAATAAATCAGTGTCGTAGCGTGAGAGAGGTGTATGGTTAGTTGTAGTAGTTTATTTTTTTTATAATATTATTCTAATAAATTCGAGGTAAAACGGCTTAAAATAAAACATAACACTTTTACGTTTTAATTACTACTAAATTTTCTTAAGTTCTTTATACGCTCATTATATAGTGATATTTTTTGTTATTAATAGCTTAATGATGTTATTGGTATATAATCTGTATTTTAATCGTCTAATTTAATTAGTATGTCTTAAATAAGCAAAAAAAAAATTAAAAAATTCAAAATAATTCGCGCTCGGGAATTATTTAGCAGAAGACAATTAAGGGTCCCAGAACTTTCAAGGCAAAATAAAGCTGACCATTTAAATTGGTGTTTGCAGCATGAAAATTGGACTATTGAAGATTGGAAAAATGTCTTACTTTCGGATGAGGCCAGAATTGGTCTACGATCCGATGACCGGCGAATTCGCATTTTAAAAGGTAGAGGGAGACAAGCTAGACTCCGTGTCCTAAGAAGGCTACCATTGTTTAGGATACGCAGACGACCTAGCAATTATCGTCAGGGGGCGATTTGCAGGTACAGCTTCGGAGCGATCTCAAACAGCTATAAACATAGTGAACAACTGGTGCAAAAAGGAACAATGGTCCATTAACGCACATTTGTGCCATTCACAAAAAAACGGGTACTTACAGGTTTAAGACCATTCGTACTAAACAACACAGTTATCCCATTCGTCACAGAAGCCAAATACCTCGGAGTCATATTTGACCAAAGGCTGACGTGGAATCAACATCTCAAAAAACTCACACATAAAGCTATAATAGCTCTCGTAAGCTGTAGAAGAATATGTGGGAAAAACTGGGGTCTAAACCCCAAAATGACCATATGGTTATACACAAGGGTAATAAGACCCATGATAACCTATGGCGCAGTGGCGTGGGTAACCAAAACTGCGCAGGCAAGTGCAATAGGCCAACTAACTAGCATTCAGCGGCTTGCCTAAGTGCTACTGGGGCCATGCGCACTACGCCGACCGCAGCAATGGAGGTATTATTAAATCTCACGTTACTGCACATCTTCATACAAGGAGAAACCAGGTCAGCTATTCACAGGCTAATGCAAGTAAAAAGGGATAATATTCTAGCTATGCCTACTGATACAGCCATAACCACATACAAATTTGAAAGAAATTTTCAAATTCAAATACCAGCCCGAGAATCCTGGAAACAGGGACCTCCCGTACAGGCTGAACTCGTCTGGTACACAGACGGTTCAAAAACCAAGGAAGGAGCCGGTGCTGGAATCTATGGACCCAAGTCGAAATCAGGCAATTCTCTCACCAGAAATCAAACCAAGACTGGTGAAAGACTATCTAGAAGACCTGACAGAGCTAAGTAGTCAAAATAAGGTTACCTTAGCTTGGGTTCCAGGCCATGAGGGATATCAGGGCAACGAAAAGGCCGACGAATTAGCCCGAGAAGGCTCAGATAAGGCCATGACAGGCCCCGAACCCTTCTGTGCAGTTGCTAAGGCATTGTACAAGGCATCCATTAAACAATGGATGCAAAAAGAGTCTCAGAAATGGTGGAACAACTATCCAAGACTGAGACAGGCCAAACAGTTCATCAAGGAACCATCGGCCAAGTTCACGAAAGACCTACTGGATCAAAAGCGTCAAATCGTTAGAATAACAGTAGGCCTTCTTACTGGACACTGTCGCCTCAAAAAGCACATGAGTGTTATAAATCCAGCAGAAGAAGCAACTTTGTGCAGGTTCTGTGAAGAAGAAGAGGAAACATTATTCCACGTCCTGTGCCAATGCGAAGGCCTGGCTGGAATGAAGTTTCTAACATTGGGCGAAGAAAAGTCAATTGCATGCAACTACATGCGGGAGCCACTGTCAAAGCTACTAAGTCTAATAAAAAAGACCAGGCTATAGACGACATACTCTAAAACAAACGGAGTCCCACAATAGATCTGAAAAGGTCGCGGTGGACAAGGACAAATAACGTCCAACTCTTAACCTAATCTAGACTCCGTGCTGTCAAACCTATCCCGAAATACAAAAAAGGTACTGTAATGTTTTGGGGTGGAATTATGATTGGTGAAAGAACTCCTTTAATTCCCATTCGACAAACCCTAACAGGTCAAAGGTATGTAGATTTAGTTTTGCAACCTGTAGTCAGGTGGTTTAGGTGATTTTTTTTATTTATGCAAGATAATGCACCTCCACATACTAGCAGACTTGCAAAATTTTCTTTAGAAACGGAAGGTGTTGCAGTTTTAGAGAGGCCGTCTTGCTCACTGGATCTTAACCCTATAGAGCACATATGGATAGGATCAAAAGAAAGATTAGAGCTCGTCAAAATAACCCTGGTAACACAGAGAAACTTATGCAAGCGATTTTACAGGAATGGGCAAATGTTCCCCAAGAAGAAATTAACAACTTGATAGATAGCATGCCTCGTCGAATTCGTGCTTGCATCGATGCTAGAGGTGGCAATACTGATTATTAAAAATTTTTAAATACCATTTTTTCTTGTTAACTTTTCATTTTCAGAAAAATTATTTTTATAGAAATCTTCACTTTTTGTTATTTGTTCTGTTATTAAGAAAATTGTAATAATTTTTATTTATTTTTGTAATAAACGTGGTTTGGAAAAACTGCTCTTTACTTTTCAATTACTTTTTTTCAAATTAAATGCTAGTTTTCGAAATTACTGGGCGATTCCATATAAGTTTGGTTGTGTGTACTTGCATAACTCACTTTGTATGACTATAAATATTATTATTATTACAGGAATCTGTACCCCAAATAATCTGTATTATACCTAGTTTATAACAGAAATCCTGACCAGTACGGTCCTTCATAACCGGCTTGCATTTCTTGAACCCACTGATGAAATTGTATACCTGCCACGAGTTATTTAAAATAATAATTATTGGCATTTTTAATCTAGACCTTGAAAAAATACAAATTTAATGAGTTCGCCGATAGGTATATGAAACAATCATTTTTATAGCCCGACGCGTAACCACCCTGTATAGCGTGAATGAAATCCAAGATTGTCACTATTCAAACCATAGTACGATAACATAACGTAAAAATAGATAAATAGTATTTGAACCACGTGGTTGCTAAAATCATCGTCGGTGCCAGACGAACATTTTCAAATTCTATTTCAGTATTTCGAAATTTGCAATACTTCCAGTCGTTGCGTTATCAAAATGTTACATCGAGATTTTTGTATTTTTCCAGCAAACTTATCTTCATTTGCGTTTAAATTTCTCGGTGTATCGGCAAAGTGAACTTGTTTTGATAAGTGCGGTTATTATATTTTTGTCCTAAACTCTATAGTGGCGTTATTATAATTTTTTTGAACGATTTTTGACAATGAAGAAGTCAATCAAACTGGAAAAAATGTCTTCAGACGAAAGCGAAAAATTAAACGGTAAGTTTAATATAGTTTTAATAACATCGTGATCGCTCAATATTTTGAATTCACATCCATAAAGCACGTGGCGTTTACTCATTATTAATACGCAACAACATACAATAATTATCAGATAGAGAAAGGACTTGGAATGATTCAGTTTATGAATGAGATTTGATCACATATGAATTTTTAATTGGAGATTTAGAAAACATATATTTATTAATTAAGTAGTATTTTTGTATGGCAGTTTTTATTGTTTGATTTATTTTTACTGACATTTAAAGGTTATAGTCTAATCTAGGACTAACTTATTTTAAGTGGCCCAAGGGCCACTGTAAATACAATTATATTATCCCCGCACAAGCTCATCTTTTGGGGTTAAAATTCACCCGTAAGGGGGTGAATTAGGGAGAGTATTATTATTATTATTATATTCTTATCCAAAAAAGTTCCTAGAATCCCGGCATCTCAAGTTTTTCATTATCTGTAAACAATGTGTGGAACAACAATATTTTATTTTGTATAGCAAAAACATTAAATTTGTATTTCTATATTAATAAAAAAAAACGATTTTTCAAATTCTATTATATTTTGATCATCATATAAATAGGCCAGAAAATATAGTAAATTTACTTGTGAAAAATTAGACTAAAACTACAAATTAGTATTACAATTTTTTGAGAACGCTGCGCAAACGGATTATCTGAAATGGAAAATTCTTGTCCAGTGTTCATCTAAAAGATATTTGTGACAAAAAACTCCATGAGAGTACTACCCTGGTAATTATAGTTTACCCTCTAGAGCGTTTTGAAGAGAGGCATGTCTGGTCGTTGAAGGTCACGCTCCTATGTTTTGCACTGCTTTCATTTCGCCAGAGCTATAGGCCGAACGAAAGGTTGTATTGAAATTTTTCAAAAACTTCGTTAAACCTGAATGAATGCACTTTACAATAGTTTTTTGTTCGAGTCGATAGCATGACAATTAAGGAAATGGCGAGCGCTCAAAATGGGCTGATGGTTGTAAATTTTATTAAAGTTACCCTTACTTTGTTGCACTTATAATTTCCCTTGAAAACCGATTAAAAAAAATATTTCACGATAATCAATCAGGAATTTAGTCTAGTTCATGTTGCCCAAAGGGTGTATTTTTAATGCGAATACTGTATGATTGAGATGTGATTAAAGGCACGCGGTTGTAGGTCAAGAAATTATAAATAAAAGTTGTAGAGCGCTGAAATTTTGCAGGTATAGGTACTTAAATAAATGCCCTGATAAACATATCCGAATTTTAATTAAATCGTATGTTAGCTCAAGTAAAGAACACCAATGCAAAATGCTGGGTCAATCGCTCGAAGAAATGTCGCAATCCATTACACAGTGTGTTCTAATAAGTTTTATACCTACACATGAGAAAAAGTTATCTTATATTACACACACTGTTTAATAGATTGCGACATGCTCTTCGATTGCGTCGTTAACAACAATATCTGAATACATTTTATTGTTAACGCAATCTATTATAAAGTGTGTCCCAAAAGGTTTTATAGAAATGAAAAACAAAACTTTCTCATGTGTAAACATTTTTTTGGAACACACTATAATAGATTGCGACGTGCTCTTCGAGCACGTCGTTAACAACAATATCTGAATACACTTTGTTGTTAACGACGTGCTCTTCGAGCACGTCGAAATCTATTGTACTGTGTGCCCCAAAAAGTTTTATACAAATGAAAAACAAAACTTTTGTCATGTGTATACATTTTTTTGGAACACACTATATAATAAATTGCGACGTGCTCTTCGAGCACGTCGTTAACAATATCTGAAAACACTTTGTTGTTAACGACGTGCTTGAAGAGCACGTCGCAATCTATTATACAGTGTGTCCCAAAAAGTTTTATACAAATGAAAAACAAAACTTTTCTCATGTGTATACATTTTTTTGAACACACTATTCGAGCACGTCGTTAACAGCAATATCTGAATACACTTTGTTCGCAAAGTGCTCGAGGAGCACGTCGCAATCTATTATACAGTGTGTCCCAAAAAGTTTTATACAAATGAAGAACAAAACTTTTCTCATGTGTATAAATTTTTTTGGAACACACTATATAATAGATTGCGACGTGCTCTTCGAGCACGTCGTTAACAACAATATCTGAATATATTTTGTTGTTAACGACGTGCTCGAAGAGCACGTCGCAATCTATTATACAGTGTATCCTAAAAAGTTTTATATAATTGAAAAACAAAACTTTTCTCATGTGTATACATTTTTTTGGAACACACTATATAATAAATTGCGACGTGCTCTTCGAGCACGTCGTTAACAACAATATCTGAATACACTTTGTTGTTAACGTCGCAATCCATTACACTGTGTGTTCCAATCTATACTAACATGGTTACCCTCTTTAAATTTTACCCCATTGGCACTGGACTCTACACCGAAGTTATAGCCAATGAGTGTAGAGTATTTCGTCTGGTACTACTTTTCATTACGCCAGCAGTGTTGCCAACTTAGCCGATTTATGACTAGATTTAGCCGATTTTATTAACTTTTAACTAAAAGAATTATTAAACAGCAGAAAATTGCAATGCCAGCAAAAATAAAGATTAATATTAACTTTTAGAAATATTAAAAAATATGCAATAAGCGAAGTAAATGCCGCGAATATAAATCGGGGAATCCCCGTCAGCGATTCCGACGAAAATTGGTCTCGACACGATAAATTTACTTATTATTTATTTCCTTAATTGTCAAGGTATCGACTCAAACAAAAAACACTTGTAAATTGTATTTTTTCAGATATAATGCAGTTTTCAGATCATCCGTTCAGTCCATAGCGCTGGCGAAATAAAAGCAGTGCAGAACATGTGTGCTGACAAGACATGACGTTCTTTAGGACACTGTAGAGAGTAAACTATAAATACCAAGCAATACTCTCACAGAGTTTTTTGTCACAAATATTCTCTAAATGGAGACTGAACTAGCATTTTTTATTTCAGACTGGCCGTGTGCGCTGCGTTTTTTAAATCAAAACAAAAAAAATAGCCTACGAGTAAATAAAAGGGAATGATCAGGACATTGAATTGGACAAACATACCTAATTGTAACCTTATTCTATTTTTTCTACAGGTAACCTCTGTATTAAAACATTCATAACTTGGGTTAATACATCATACTGTATGTTTTTTGCTTATATTCCAAAGTAATCTGGTCTAACCTGAATTATACGGTTATTTTACATTTTTTTATCACTCTTTACATATTTATTATTTGTTTAAATATTTATAAATAAGACATCTAAATGGCGTCGCGCATCTAGTTTAATATTTATATACGGAATAAAGAACATTTTGTATAATTTATTTTACTATAGATAGCAATGTTTGATTACATAATCAAACATTAAGTAAATTTTAAATTAAAACTAAAAGCAGTATATATCTACTTCGACACTTTTATCAAAATGTATTAGGCAGAATAAAATGAATAAATTAGTTAATTTATTAATTTAAAATTATTGTCAAATTTATATCTATTTCAAATAGACAAAAAGTTTAGTATAAAGTTAAATTCAAAAAAATTATTTTCATTTAGTGTGTATATTTGAAGCCTACCTAGAACAATGAATGGTATGTGTATAATTTCCTTAATCATAGATAAATATTTTTGCCATTTCATACTAATGAAAAAATTATTATTATCTAATTACTATATAATGTAAAATTAATTTGAAATAAGTGACTTTAACTTAAAACACTAGTTGAAGGAATATTAATGAATCAGTAGAAGCCATTTGTTGGGAAAACATTTTTTTGCCGTCATTTCATTACAGATAATACAATATTCCGATATCGAATCTAAAAACGTTATAAATAAAAATTTGGAAGGTATTTATAATTATTAATTAATTAAATCAAGTTACAATAATTAAATGAAAGTCATTAACAAAATAATCAGAATAAATCAAATTTATTGCAATATTTAATGTTTTAAATCTTTTTTTATTGTTAACTTTATTTGACCATGAAAAATCCAATTAATTCTTAATGAATTATCTTTTGTTACCCAAAAAATATTAAAAATAGTTACTCTATTTATGATAATACTGCAAAGCATTGGAAAAAATATGTAGGCAAAAATGAGAGAATGGTGTGGTAGTAAAGCAGGCATTGGGGTCTATTCTGTAACAAATTCTTTATATTTAACGGCCTTTAAAATATTGGCGGCCTTTAAAAGTATATTTGTATTCGTTAATTTACTTATGTCATTATTTAAACAGATTTCTTTAAGATAGTCCTCTAATGTATTTTAAAGATCCGTTTAAATAATGACAGAAGTAAAGAAGAAAATATTTTTAAAGGCCGTTAAATATAAAGGAATTGTTACAGAATAGACCCCAGTAACTCCTATAATTGAATTATATGAAATCGGACAACCGGGGGTTGATAATTAATTTAAATAATTCTTATATTATTCGTAGTCTAGGATGCCAACCGAGGCGGACGTTCCGGTTGATCGCTCCGAGAATAATTGTTTTATCTGCTTATCAAGTATTAGAAAAACCTGTGTTAAGTGTTCCAACAATAAATGTAGTGTAATTATTCATTACAAGTGTTTTGAAACAGTGTCTAAGTTATTTTTCACGGAAAGAAAGGAATGGAAATGTAAGTCTTGCATAGAAAATTGTTCCGTTGATCAAAATCCTAGCGATAATATTTCTGATTTAAAACATAAAGTTATTTTTAATGGATATATGAAAAGAGAAAATGAGCTTTTATCTAATTTGAATCACGAACTAAAATTAAATAATGATCTTCTTCAAGAAAAAGTTAAAGATTTGTCCGACAAATTATCGTCAATACCTATCTCAAATAGTGTTTTTGCTGCCGGTGGCAGTGGGCCATCTTTTTACAGTGATATGCTAAAGAAACCAGTGGCTAACAAAATGCCTTCGTCAAGTCTCCTAATACAAACAATAAATAAAGGGAACAATTCAAATGTTTTAG